TGCAAGGTTCAGGCACACGGATACGTCATTTATTTACAATCGAAAAGGAAAAGGAAAAGAAAGTAGGCAGCCTTTTGTGGCTAACGCTTTTCAACATGACAGATACATTTTTTTACTTCCTTTACTGAGTGGTTTGCAACGGGATAGCAGACCCTGTGTGTGCGAGCCTGGTTACTGATACAAAAAGTAAAGAATATATATATATATATATATATGTATATACACATATATGTATACGTATATATATATAAAACAGAAGCTTAATTACAGCAACATTTGTTACTCTGTGATAAAATCTGTAATTTACAAAAATGAAATGACTGGTTCTTGCCTGCCATTAAAGGCATTTCAAATTAACACCATGGAACTGATGTCTGTATAAAAGCGCTTCCCCATGTGATCCAGTCACATGACAACGTACATTTCCAATCTTGTTATTCTCTGCAAAGGAAAAAGAAGACCTTAGCACAGGGCTCCATCCGCATCTGACGCCGAAAATGTGAAAACCCTAAGGCTGACGGGCTTATCTTAATTCTATTCAAATCATGGAACTCGCTCATTCAAGAAAGGGAATGCACACGAGGGTTACGATCTACACTGTGGAAAAATAAATTATGTTCCTTTCTGACACAACCTGAGGGATAATTAAAAGTATCAAAGAACAAACATGACCTTTAGCATTCTGAAAATAAATGTCTCCCTTTGTGACTTTATTTTGAAACACGATAAAACAAAGGGAGTGGTGGCGGGAGTGTTTTAACAGGGCTGCGAGGGTAACCTAAGAGGCTTTTCGACTGCTTGAAAAATAAATAAATAAAAGCACTCATCAGTTAATTACTAACCTATATTACAGCTAAAGAAATGAGGGTCCCGGAACGTAAGCTGCATGTAAAGCAACGGGCCATACATAAAAGCACGTTCGTTACAAGAATATAAAAACCCAAAGAGCCAAGTTTTTGGTCTAAAAGGCCTACACTTAACTGCCTCCCACCCATTAAGACGTCTCTAGGTAGAAAAATGTAGATTCAAAATGTAAGGATATTTACCTTCTTTGTGCAGGAAACATTCCTGATGCAGATGCCTGGGCAGCCACCTGCTGAGAGGCAACGAGGGCGGCGGAGGTCAAGCCTAATGGGGGGAAAAATGCAGGGTTTCTGTGACACTCGGGAAAGATAAGAGCAGGTGCAGGCCCAGGGGTGAAGGGCTGCAGCAATCCGCCCTCTCCTAAACACACACAGGAAATGTTTCACATAGAAGAGATGGAGCCCACACCGCTTAGTCTAACCCCTATCTAGCCATTTATCCAATACTCTGCGGTTTTCTTAATAGCTAGTCAAAGAGAAGAGAGAACATTCCATCTCTGTGACTCTGCGTGGTACTAAATGGTTTGCTCGCATTCCTGAATAGGAAGCTCAGGAGACATAATAGGTCCCCGGCAACAACAGGAATCAAAAGTCACAGTGAATTACAGAAGCAACACGCCATTTGCTTAGCATACAGTACTTTCATAATAACTTTTATCACTTCAGCATTTCCCCAGTGAACGAACACAACGCATCCTGCATCCCGCAAGAAACACAGAACTGGTGCATCGAACGTAACAACAGTCCTAACTTCTACCTCGCAAGAGAAAGACAGCAGTCAGAGAACGGAATGGCTCCAGATGGCGCGAAGCTGCCTGATAGGAAATTATTTTTTAATTCTACAGAAAACAATCCTGGAAAAACAGGAAAACACACATGCAAAGCTAGGGAAGATAATTCTCCTTCTAAGCCCTCTATGTTCTTTCTGAACGCTACTAGTTGACTGTGAGTGGTAACGAGGGCTAAACAAATAAAAATGACCTTTCCCATGTGTAGAGTACTTCCTACTCCTGGAGGTACCTTTCACACATGGTATCTCGTATTCACACAGCAGAGTGAGGGCCATCGTGGCAAGTGCTATGGGTTGAATGTGGCCCTCCGAAATCCCTATGCGGACACCCTAATCCGCGATGTGATCATCTGAAGATAGGACTTCAATAATTAAGGTCAAATGAGGTCATGATGTCCTTATAAGGAGGGACACCAGAAGGTAGCTCTCTCACAAGCTCTCCTCCCTCCACCGCTGCCCCTGCCCCCTGCACACAGAGAAGAGGTCGTTTAAGCACAAAGCAAGATGGCAGCCACCTACAAGCCCGGAACCGAGCACTCGTTACCAAGCAACCGTGCTGGCACCCAGCCGCCCAGACTCCAGAACGATGAGAAAACTTTCTGTTGTCTAAAGCCAGAGAGTCTGTGACATTTTGTCATGGCAGTTTGAGCTACCTAAGACAGCAAGAACCTAGCAAGTGGACCTCTTGGTAGAGATGGGGCCACCACCCACCCCCGTAAGGTGACAGAGCTGGGACAAGCAGCAGGAGGTCAACTAGAACACCACAAATCGAAGGCTATCTCACAACGATTCTATGGCTTTTTCAAAATGTTTCGCCATCATTAAAGTCACAGCAATGAACGGCTGTGAAGAGCCCCTGAATTACAGGGGATTACAAGTGTTGACCCTGTCCCCATCAAATAACCACCAGCATTTTTCACAGGGCTAGAACAAACAATCCTAAAATGTGTATGGAACCACAAAAGACCCCAAAGAGCCAAAGCATTCCTGAAAAAGAATGGTAGCCACCGAAACTGGAGACATCACGATTCCGGACCTCAAGCCATATTACAAAGCTGTAATCATCAAGACGGTATGGTACTGGCACAAGAGCAGACACATAGAGCAATGGAACACAACAGAGAACCCAGAAACGACCTCACAAACGTACGGCCAACTAATCTTCGGCAGAGCAGGCAAGAATATCCAGTGGAAAAAAGACAGTGTCTTCGGCAAATGGGGTTGGGAAAACCGGACAGCGACATGCAGAAGAATGAAACTGGACCACTTTCTTACACCACACACAAAAATAAACTCAAAATGGATGAAGGACCTAAATGTAAGACAGGGAGCCATCAAAATCCCAGTGGAGAACAAAGGCAACAACCTCTTTGACCTTGGCTGGAGCAACTTGTTACTAGACATGTTGCCAGAGGCAAGGGAATCAAAAGCAACCATGAACTATTGGGACGTCATCAAAATAAAAAGCTTCTGCACAGCGAAGGAAACAACAAAACTGAAAGGCAGCCTACAGAACAGGAGAAGATATTTGCAAATGACATATCTATAAAAGGGTCAGTATCCAAAATCTATAATGAACTTAGCAAGCTCAACACCCAAAAACCAAACGACCCAGGTAAGAAATGGGCGGAAGACACGAATAGACGTTTGTCCAAAGAAGACACCCGAAAGACGGCTCACAGACACAGGAAAAGATGTTAACATCACTCCTCATCAGGGAAATACAAATCAAGACCACAGTGAGATACCACCTCACACCTGTCGGAATAACAACTCCGGAAACAACCGGTGTGGGCAAGGGTGCGGACAAAGGGGAACCCTCTTGCACTGCTGGTGGGAACGCAAACGTGTGCGGCCGCTCTGGAAAACAGTGTGGAGGTTCCTGAAAAAGTTAAATTTGATCCAGCAATCGCACCACTCGGTAGTTACCCAAAGGATACAAAAACACAGATCTGGAGGGGGAGAGCAGCGCTATCCACAGCAGCCAAACTGTGGAAAGAGCCCAAATGTCCATCGACTGATGAATGGTGGATTCATTGACTGATAAAGAAGAAATGGATACACACACACACACACACACACACACACACAC